GGGCCATTAAAGAGCTGAACAAAGACCAAGGATCGAGGGAAATGGTGCAGTCATTGCTCAGTGGCACCTGTCCTCAGCTCGTCAGAGGCCTCATTGTGGTGGGGAAGTCAGACCTGGAGCAACAAGGTCAGCCTTGCAAGCCATCTGCTTTCCTCTGTACCTCTCTATACCTGGGCTTCATTGGGGCTTTTCTACCCAAGGGGTTCTTTATTCATTTCACCAGCATACAATGAGTATTAGATCTTATATGTTATGAATTAGACACAGAGAACGGAGTCAGGCAGATTTCAAAATGCACTGTGTACAATGACAAGGCCCAGGGTGTCAGAGAGTCCAGTGGAGGGGTACAGCACAATGTGATTGAGAAATAGAAAGAGAAGGCAGGAAAGGTGACCTGGAGAAGGTGACAAAAAAGAATCAGATCTATGTGCAGACTTCATCTCCAGAAGTAGACACTTGGGAAGCAAGAAGCTTGTAGCACTGGAGCATCTAATGCCCAGTACTCACTTTAATATCTCCCATCTCCTTGCTGTATACAGTGAAACCTGTGGCCTGGCTGTCCCAGGGCCCCAGCCCTGGGCCTGGCCATCTGCAGCTGGTGTGCCATGTCTCTGGCATCTACCCAAAGCCCGTGTGGGTGATGTGGATGCGGGGTGAGCAGGAGCTGCCTGAAACTCAGAGAGGGAATGAGCTGCCTAATGCTGAAGACACGTGGTATCTGTGCGTGACTCTGGATATGGTGGTACAGGAGGCAGCTGGAGTGTCTTGCCGAGTGAAGCACAGCACTCTAAGAGGGCAGAACATTGTGCTCCACTGGGGTGAGGAAGGACTGGGGCCTGGGCTGAAAATGGGGGAAGATGGTCCTTAAGCATAAGCAGATAGATTGGGAAAGAGTGGTGTTGACAAACCTAATTTAGAGATGGGGATCCCAATTATGGCTAGAAGTAGGGACCTCTAGATTCAGAGGGAAACAGTCCTGAGACTCAAAAGACTGAGAGATAAAGTGTTCTGTACACAAAAGTAAAGAAGACCAAAACACTGAGATGCCAAAGAACTCAGAGATCTTGAAGTGGTGGCAAGTAGAGTTCCAAGAAGATGCAATCTCCAGCAGACAGCAGACGAGAGACTTTAGAAAGGCAGCTTCAGAAGGGTGGTTTTGCTTAGTTTACACTTCTTGTGTGGGACTTGGCCAGTCTGCTTCCAGTACTTCTTCTTAGTTCTTTTGAAGCCAATGCAATTATTATTTACCGATGAAGAAATTGAAGCTAACTTAGGAGTCCTGAGCCACGTGGAAAGTGGAAGAGCTGGACACAAACTCATTTTTGTCCAGCTATGGAGCTTCAACTCTGTGTTACACTACGAAGTGCTAGAGTGAATTGAAGTAATGATGGCTACACCCAGAAGGGAGATGGGAATCTCAACTTAGGACGAGCAGAACAGATGCTTTAAATAAGGGAAGGAATAAGAAAAATTGGTCTTCCTTGCTTGGGTTTAGAGCAGGGGCTTATGTAGGGAGGGGTCATGTGCTGAGTGCCATCCTGTGTCCCTTCCAAAACAGATGAGAGCCCCTCCTCCAGCAGCCTCTGGGTGGGACTGGTGAGCCTTGGAATCCTCCTAGGTGTCACCATGGGCTTAACCATCTTGATGAGGAGGCGCAGGTAAGTCTCCCCATTCCTCTATACCCTGTCCCTCAGTCTCTCTTTCCTGTATTCCCTGCTTTTCTTTTTGTAATGCTGTCAACTTTCTCTTCTCTCACAGCTCCAACCAGTGAGTAGCTAAGATTTTGAATCAGCCTAGATGCCTGTGAGCTGATGAGTGGATAAAGAAGATATTGTATGTGTCATGGACTATTATTCAGCCATAAGTGTACATGAAATCCTGTCTTTTGCTAAAAAATGAATTGAACTTCAGGAGATCTTGTGAAATGAAAGAGG